ATAAATGCGTCTGATGAAAATGAATATTCTAAATGTACAGTTTGTGTTGAAGCAAAATTTGTAAAGAAACCGTTTAAACAAGTCACTTCCAAAAGCACTGAATTGCTTGAACTGATACATTCTAACTTGGCTGACTTTAAAAACACAATGAGTAAAGGTGGCAAAAATTATTATATATCTTTTGTTGACGACTTTTCCAGATATACTAAGATTTATTTGTTAAAGTCAAAAGATGAGACTGCTCAAATCTTTTTAAAGTATAAAGCTGAAGTGGAAAATCAATTGGGTAAAAAGATTAAAAAACTTAGGTCTGATAGAGGAGGTGAATATAACACAAATTACCTTAAAGAGTTTTGTGATGAAAATGGTATTATACATGAATCTTCTGCCCCTTATACACCTCAACAAAATGGCATAGCTGAACGGAAAAATAGGACACTAAAAGAAATGATGAATGCTATGTTATTAAGTTCTGGGATGCCTGATAACATGTGGGGTGAAGCTGTTTTGTCTGCATGTTATATTCTAAACAAAGTTCCTCATCAGAAACTAGATAAAACTCCTTATGAACTATGGAAAGGCTTTGCACCCAACTTAAGTTATTTAAGGGTTTGGGGATGCTTGGCTAAAGTTGCATATCTAGAATTTAGAAAACCTAACACTGGTTCTAAAACCTTTGATTGTGCATTCATTGGCTATGCTCAAAATAGTGCTGCATACAGATTCATGTGTTTGAATGATAGTTCTATTTGTGAATCTAGAGATGTTGAATTCTTTGAACATGTGTTTCCTCTTAATAAAATGATAACTAAAAATGTTGCCTCTTCAAGGGTTGATATGGTAAATAAATCTACTTCTAGTGATCATGTGAATGAACTTAGGAGAAGTAAGAGGAAGAGAACTGGGAATAGTTTTGGGTCTGATTTTTTGACTGCTTTTATTGTTAAAAAACCTCATAAAATCAATGAGCAATTTGTTTCTATATTCTTGATTGGTGATGATCCTAAAACATATAAAGAGGTCTTGACCTCTATAGATTCTAGCTTTTGGAAAGAAGCAATTAAAAGTGAATTAGACTCTATTATGATGAACCACACTTGGGATTTGGTTGATTTGCCTAAGGGTAGTAAACCTATTAAGTGTAAATGGATCTTTAAAAGGAAAATTAGACTAGATGGATCTATAGAAAAATTCAAGGCTAGACTAGTGGTAGTGGGATATACACAAAAGGAAGGTATTGATTATTTTGACACTTATTCTCCTGTGACTAAAATTGCTACTATTAGATCTTTGATTGCTCTTTCAGCTATTCGAGATTTGATAATTCATCAGATGGATATAAAAACAACTTTTCTTAATGGAGACCTGGAGGAAGAAATTTACATGGAGCAACCAGAGGGATTTGTAGTTGCTGGACAAGAGGACAAGGTATGCAAGCTTAAAAAATCTCTCTGTGGCCTCAAACAGGCACCCAAACAATGGTACGAAAAATTTGATCGTACTTTAGTAACCAATGGGTATGTTGTGAATGCCTCTGATTCATGTGTTTACTCTAAATTGTTTGGTTCTAATTGTGTGATTATATGTTTATAGGTTGATGACATGCTCATTTTTTGCTCTAACTTGGAAGTAATAAATGAAACCAAGATGTTTTTGACTGCTCACTTTGAGATGACAGATTTAGGTGAGGCAGATGTTATTCTTGGTGTCAAATTAAGGAAAACTGAATTTGGCTTTTCATTATGTCAATCATACTACATTGAAAAGATACTTAAGAAGTTTGATTGCTTTGATACAATGTCGGTAAGAACTCCTTATGACCCTAGCATGAGTCTTAAAAAGAATAATGGTGATAGTGTTTCACAAGCTGAATATGCTAAAGTTATAGGAAGTGTTATGTATCTCATGAACTATACAAGACCTGATATTGCTTATGTTGTAAGTAGACTAAGTAGATACACTCATAATCCTAATAGTGAACATTGGAATGCACTTTATCGATTGTTAAAATACCTTAAGGGAACTATGAATTTATGTTTGCATTTTAACAAGTTTCCTACTGTTTTAGAAGGTTATTGTGATGCAAACTGGGTGACAGATAATAATGAGGTGAGTTCTACTAGTGGATATGTGTTCACTTTAGGAGGAGGAGCTGTTTCATGGAAATCTTCCAAACAGACCTGTATTGCTCGGTCCACCATGGAATCTGAATTCATTGGTCTTGAGCTAGCAGGTCAAGAAGCAGAATGGCTAAAAAACTTGTTAGGTGATATTCCATTGTGGGGGTCTTCTGTACCAATCTCATTGCATTGTGATTCACAATCTGCTATTGGAGTTGCCAAAAATTATGTGTATAATGGCAAAAGAAGGCATATTCGGATAAGACATGGTGCAGTTAAACAACTTTTGAAGAATGGAGTAATATGTCTAGAGTTTGTGAGATCAGAAAGAAACCTAGCAGATCCTTTAACAAAAGGATTGAGTAGGAGAGTCATTCAAGAGACTTCTCAAGGGATGGGACTTAAGCCTTTGACTTGAAAATATTGTGATGCACTACAGTCCATCCCTGTACTTATTGGTAGTGCTTAAATCCATAGCTCTATGTTTTGAGTGGTCCTGAATAGGACTTGATGGATGATTGTGATATAAGTCTAAATGACTTAATGACTTTATAACTCTATTTGTTGAGTAGTCTACTGTGTTGATAGACTTAATAAAGTTATTGTTTAGATGAGTGTGAAGGTGGGCCGCCTTCTATGAAAGAATAAAAAATTTTGCTTTCTAGAGCACTCATGGAACCAAGGTATATGCGCAGGGCCTTTAAAAGCGCTTTTGTTGTATCGCGGAATAACAGACTTTAAGGAATTAATATGTGTCATGGGGGTCTCAACCTAAGCCTTTGAAAGTTCAAGAACTATTTCACTTTCATTAGCTATGTATTTACCTCATTTCACTATACATTAATTCAATTGAAAGAGATTAATGTTTAAGTAACTTAGTTCCTTCTCGCTGCCCAGAAATGTAATTTTAAACATATAGTCATTTGTGGGGGATTGTTGGGAATATGACTATATTAGCTATTCTCAAGCAAGTCCTTCTGAAATTGAAGGGAACACTTTTTTAGTGGTCAGTTTTTTATTCAAATATTTCTTTGTTAGTTTCTGAAAACGGTTTTATAAATATATTATCATGCCTAAAATATAGGAAATAGAAAAAGTAGTTATATATATATATATATATATATATATATATATATATATATATATATATATATATATATATATATGAAAATATATTTTATAAAGATATATATAAAAAATAGGATTGGGTTTTTTTCACGAGAGAAAGTAAGAAACATTTTCTTATCATCTTTATTTTCTCGGACAACGAGAATCAGTAATCCCAACTCCTCCCACGAGTACACGAGGGTAGTGAGGTGTTGTGTTAACCTTGGGGAGCTGAACGGTGTCAATCGATTGCACCTTGGCCGTGCTCGAATTTCGCTTTCAGTGGCAGTGGTTCTTCCACGACATACGCTGTATTATTTTCTCTGCTTTACTAACAACCTTAAACTCCAATAAATTTTATTTATTTTTATGAAAAAATGTGTTAAAATAATTACAATAATAATGTATGTGTATAAAGTCGTATTGAACACTTGACCGACTTTAACTATGGAGATTAGATATTCATCTAGTTATATACATTCTTTATTCAAGATCAAACCATCATATTTTACACTTGGTCAATATGTTTGGGTTAGTTTACTTTTACTTTAATTATAGATTCCAACACACTACAATAGAAGACACTCTAAAAGGATCGTTGGCACGACATAGTTTGGTTTTAGTTTATAAAATATTAAAGTTTTATTTTTATGAGTTTTAATATTAATTCTTAGGGTCATTATAACGAATCATACTTTTAAATATGGCTCATCAATCATCATTATAAAGTGATTTATCTAACTATGTGTCACGCTACAGTAAAAACATTTTTTTTTAAGAAAATCAAGTTTATAAAAAATAAAATTAACAATAAAACTAGAAGATTAAAATAAAAATTGATCATATTTACCAAAACTTAAAAATGGGTAAATCTTTACCTTTCTATGAATAAAATTTAATGTTTTTATGTTTTAGAAATCTTCCATTCCATACTTCTATGCTTGGTTCTAAAATTAAAAAAAATATATAAAATTCTTCAATATTTTCCTTAAACCAAACACTGTTTGAGTCAACTCAGTGTCTCAACCCTGCAATTTTTTTCAACACGTGCTATTATTATCCACAGCATATTTTTCAAAAAGTTCATTCACTAAATTTTATGCCTACCAGTGCTTTCCACTTAACAATAGCCTCCAACAGCTATAAAGTAGGTGTAGTACAAAATTCATGGCATGAAATCTAATATTGGAAAGGGTAAAGTAGGCACTTAGAATACAGTGTATCTTCAGCCGCCTTAGCGAATTCATGAAATTGGCCTTTCACAGTCGTATGAACAGGCACATTCATTGGTGTTCAGCAATGAAACAACCTTGCTCATTCATTGACCAATAACAAATCAAAGATGTTAATAGTGTGCCCCACCACACAGGCTCAACACGAAATCCAAATGGAATTCAACTTAGCATCAGCCAAAAACTGTTCTGGGGGGTCCATTTTCACGTGGTAAAGGATAAGCATAAGAAAAAGCCACAATAAAGGCCAAACCTTTCCTCTATCCACAATTTTACCCTCAACTGGGTCACACATTTTAGATTCTAGATCTTATTGTAAAAACAAAATTTGGAAGAAACTTCAAGTCTTATTTATATATCACAGTCTTACATGGAATAAGTAAGAGAAGGCTAAACTGATGAGAAACACACAAGCATAAGTAAATTTTTATTGTAAATTGCATGAGAAGAGAATTAGGGAAAGACTTTAAGCTGAAGGAACTTCACATGAAAATAAAAGTTCACAACAATGAGCTTGAGCTTCCAATTCCACTTGTCACTTTCACTGATACCATATAGAAAAATCTGGCTGTTTCTGAAGAGCATCCATCGCAACGCCTTGCATATCCTCCTTCATATCAAATGATGCCAAATCACAAAAGGACCCAAACATCGAGTGAAAGTTATTGTTGTTGTGATTGGTCTCGAAGGAGGTATTCAAAGCTTTGAACCGGTCAAATTGGCATTCATCTCTTGCAAACAAATGATGATTATTTGACATGTTTGCTTCATCGAAGACGTTTCCTTCAATAGTGATTCCTTGGCCGCGAATGAAGTTGTCCTGTTGCTGCTGCATGCAATTCTGAGAAAGGTTCAAATTTTCGCCAGCTACACGATTACAGGAACTTATGTTCTTGTTGCCTTGAACATTTGTATCATAGTTAGTCATAAGGTCGCTGATCATTTTCTTGCCTTCTTCTGAAACTTCAAGTCCAGTAAGATCAATTAAAGGCGGAACCATAATAGCAGATTGAGCAGTAGGTTTCGGTTGAACTAATGACTGGGGGTATATAACTGGCTTTACCTCGTTAACGTGAAAATTTGGACCCCCAAATTCTGAAGAAGAACATCTATATGCACAAATTAACCGATGATTGTCCCTAGAAACTCTGTCAGAGAAACCAAGGTGAACTTGACTGTAAGGGCACTGAGGCTGTTCACAAGTGTAAATTTTCAAATCCATCATGTTAAAGTCATTAGGGACCTTCCTCTTCCTAATGAAATCCAAATTTGTAACTGCCTCTCCCTTGATTGAAAAAGAGGGCCGCTGAACTGGCAGAGTTCCCCTTATTCTCTCCATCCCCAGATTAGACATATGAATATTCTCATGTTTCCTGTCTTCTACATCAAAGTTAGGATCATCCTCACCCCCTTCAACATCATACTCACTGCTATCATTGATGACCAAAGATCCACTACCTCCAGCTGAGGCTAATGGGGGAATATAATCAGGGTAAAGCTCTCTTGCCAAGGCCTCCTCTTGATTGATGATTGCCAGCCAGGTTGCACTTTCCTTGGCTGTCATCTTATCTTGGAGACATTTGGACTGCCTCACAAGCTTGCGAATTTTGGCAATATCCGGGGACATGTGTTTTATAACTGCAGTCAGAACACCAACTTTCCATGCCTTCTTTAGGTCATGGGGCTTCTTGTAAGGAGGTGCACTTTGATCTTTAGGTAAACCAATTTCAGGCCACCACAGTTCATTTCCTGTGGGCCACCATGGTGGAGGAATACCCTTCTCCAATGGAAACCGCCTTTGAGGAGGATCACAGTGCTGCATGAGTGCTGACAAGAGAGAACCCAAGGTTGTGTCCTGCAGCTCTTGCAAGGTATGTGGAGTTGGGCCAATCGAATTGCATCCATCGTTTCTCCCCAGGATAGCATTATCAGCTTGATACTTCGTTATAGCAGCAGGTCCATTACGATCAAATCTGACTTTATCCTTCCACCATTCACGAAGATTATCAGATGCTCCCGTCACCGGTTTCCCCTTCTCGGGAATTATCCCATAAACGAATCCTTGGGCCTTGCAAACCTCCATCATCTTCAGCATGTACTTCAAGATTCCATCTTGCGCCCTGGACATCTTTTTCCTCCTTGCCTGTTCTTGCGACTGCCTCTGCTTCACAGCATCAATTCCTTCTTTAGATTTACTTTGTTCCTTTAATCGCTTCAGAAGCATTTTGTCCTTCCACATCCTGTGCTCAAGCTCATCTACTCCAATTTCTTCGTCGCTAAAATCATCCTCAACTATGGCCTCTGTATCAGTTTGCCGGGCGGTAATATTTTCTTCTCCAAGGGTAGCAGGTATAGTATCCAAATCATTGCAAAACCCCATCTCGTCAAACAACATCATCATCTTCCGTGGAAAATATATGGATCCAATCTATAAGCCTCCGACACTGAAAGTGGTGAGATATGTTTCAAACTTTACCCTCTAGCACTATTCACCAATTCAAGTTAACAAATTCTTAACATGTAAAGTCCTCTGCACCTGCCCATAGCAGTAAAAAAAATCAACATGGTGCAAAAACCAAAAACTTTCCAGATGAAGAAAATCACTAAATCATCAAATATACCAGACACAAATTTCAATAGGCTAAAATTCTGAATAAAAAACATAGGCTAAAATCACGAATAAAAGAATCTCAAGGGACTCATCACCTCAGAAATCACTAGAAAAATAAATAAAGTTACAGCTAATATATGAAAATCAAGACTTTGCAAAACATCTGGCCACAAAGTCAAAATTTTTTAGGTCTTCACATCTGGAATCATAATTGCAGCAGCATGAGTCAATTTCCCGCAACATCAAGGGTTGCGAGGAATCAGTGACCACAATTTAAAACCTTGATGAAAATTAACAGATCAGAGCAATCTTAATTTCACAGATCCAATTCATCAATGAATCAAACACGAAAGCAAAAAGCAACATAAGTACAGACAATAAATGACGATTCCTATGCAAACAAACACAATAAATGACCATTTCAACAAGTTCTGTCATAAATCCATGTCAAAGTGTTGCTGCTTTCACACAAAACACAAAAATCATCTTAATTGATGAGGAGAACTATCAGGTTAGTACCCCCCACAACAGCAGCACGCTAAGAAAGAAAAAACTCCCAACATGAAGAGTAAACTAAAAGATAAAACTGAAACTTTTCCATCATAGATCGAAAGGGTAACCAAATCAGCACCGACCCAAATTACAAAAAATAAAAAAAAAACAACACAAACCCATGAATCTGATTGACCAAGCAGATAGCAAGAATGAGTTGAAGAGTGAAAAGGCTAAGCAAAACAAGAAGTGCACAAAACATTACCCGAATATCCAGAAAAGAGTCTCTGTGGTGGCCACAAGTCAATAAGAGAAGAGGAAGAAGAAGAAGGTGCTTTGTGTCGAGACTTTCATCGGAGAAGGTGAGAAGAAAGACAGAAGAGAGAAATGGGAAATGCGACAAAGAGTTGAACTTTATCCTGGTTTTATTGCCTGAGAGTGGGGGCAGTACGAGGTGAATATGAAGATGGTGGTGATTGGTGGATTTAAACCCCCTATAGAGGAATAATATTTATAATATAGGTGAGTTATTTTAAAAAAATTAAATATTTATTTATTTATTTAAAGAATTAAAAAAATAATATTAATATAGTAAATTTTATCAATTTTGTTTATTTATTTATTTTCATTATATCGTACCCATCTCATTCGATGTTTATTCTATTTTAGTTTTTCAATAAATTATTTTCTTATAAAGAAATCAAATTTAAAAAAATTGTCACGTTATATGTGGGAAAATACGAATTCATCAATTTATTCGTTATTTTATTACAATTTTTTACTCACATCATATTTGAGGTGTTTTGTGTTGTTTAAACGTCTTCCCAAACAAGCATTGAATTTTAAATCTATCACTTTTTAATTTTTAAATATCTTTCTCTTATATAATTTTCATGGTATATAACACTTTCTTTTGTATAGTTTTAAAAGAAGTTTTGAAATTGAAATAATGGATTATATTAAATTAAATAAAGAACTAATAATTGACATGATACAATCACAATCTTTCGGAGTAAGATAAACATTCAATAAAACTATTAATAGGAATTCCTTTATTAGATAAATGATTGATTAATAGGTTGTATAATACATTATTTTATTCTTAAAAGCAAACCGAGAATTTAAGAAAAACAAAATCATCAGAATTATCAGAGGTCCAATAATTGAGCAAGACCAAACACTGGCCAAATCATTTGAGGTCCAATAAAAATGGAAAGTTTTTATTAAAAGATTATAATTAAATATATTCTCATCATAATTTTCAATATACCCAAATTAGAATTTATTGCTGATAAATTATTTATACTTTTACACTGGTTATTAAAAAACATAAAATCCTTAAAATAATTAAACAAAAGCCTTACTATTGAAACTTGAATATAGAGAAATTTACAAAAATGTGAGGTTCTTAGAGTGTGAAAGGTGAGGTATATACAGAAGTTCAAATTCAATTATCTCGCATCGCATGTGTATAACATCTGAGCAACAGTTATATTGCATAAGATTAAAATAAGTAAGATATAAATACGTGTTAGGAAGTATTATTATATTATATAAGTAGATATTAAAATATGTTTAATTAGATAAATTAGTTTAAAATTTTGAAAATTACGTTAAATTAAAAAAATTAATTTAAATTAAATTAGTCATAAATTATATATACTTAAGTCATGATAGCTTATAGATTTATGAATCTTCTAATTTTATAAAATAATAATTATTTTTAAATAAAAAATATATATGTTTTATAAATTAATTTGATAATAGATTTACTTGTTTTATAAATATAAGAGTAGATCTTTAACACTTATTTCATAATTTAATAATTAAGATAAATTAATATTTTTAATCATTAAATTATTAAAAAAGAATAATGATAATGAAAAAAATAAGTGTTTAATTTTTATTTTAGAGTATGAATTTCTTCTCTTGTAATTTATAGATTAAATCATTATATAAAAAATAAAGATTACTTTTATTAATAACTTAAATTTTAAAAATATATTTATATTTTTATTTAAAAATATTATTTTATTTTTAAATTAATTATTAATTAATTTTTATTTTTAATAAGGTAAAAATTTGCATAGTAGTATGTTGGTCTAATATAGGACTAGGTTAAACAAAAATTTATGACTAGTTTATTAATTATTTTTCTTCTTTGACCCGTAAGGCATAACCAAATTGGGTCAAACCATCCGTTTTGACAAATATATAGATAAGGTTTCACATACAAAATTCTAAACAAAATATTCAAACATAAACTTTTAAATTTCCATTACCTCAATCAAGAATTCAATATTGAGACTGACCACCTGAAATATCTTTTGTTCACATGTAACAACACAATCATAATAGTTTAAATTAAACACACCATACTAATTAAGCTAAGTTAGTAATAAAAATCTCAAATATATACATATATAACCTTATCTATATATCTTCTTTCTCATAAATAATATTTTCATAGAAAATAAGTAAACAAGGAATCAAATATCTAACTCTTATCATATAGGTTACATATCATGTCATCATACACTAACACATATATCATAAATACTTGACTCTATTTCTAAAAGACTAGCATGTGTTGAATTAGACTCAAAGGTTTGTGCTTGTCACACTACCTTCCCTAAGTAGATATGTCCAACATAGTTATATAATTGAAACATGTTCCTTTATGTGACATGGTAAATTCCTATGACTTGTCAAATACAATTTTTTTTTCACATTGCAAGCTAAGTTATAGAGACCTGTTTCAACTCTCACCAACTAATATTTCCTTTATCTAGTCCAGTATCAATAAAGTTAGGATATCTCCCTTAGAATACCAAATCCAATAATCACCTATATCTCAACATGTGAACTTTCACCAATAAATCACATATATAACATATATATGAGGATATTGATAAACACATTTTATCAATAAATTTATTAGTGTATTTTATATATAGTTAGTATATTTCTTTAATTAAATACTAGTATTTAACATAGTTTTCATAAAAAGAAAATAAATATCTCTAAATCTAATTTATTGTTTAAATTATATATTTTAACTAATTATTTGTTTATTTTTTAGGAATGATAAATTAAAGAAAATATAAATTATTATCTTGAAGAATTCGCTTAGGGCTTAGCAATTTCGCTTAGCGAATTTCATCCAGATGCATCAATCTTGATGCTACTAATCTGCTTAGCGAAGGAACCATCCGCTAAACGAAAATGTCTTCTCTAATAAACTATTTATCTATCAAATTTGCTCAATGAATTTTAATCCGCTGAGTGAATTTGTCGCAAAATCTCAATAATACGAAGTGTGATTCAAGTTCCATGTTATGTAATTGATTAATTATGGGCCTTGGATGGGCCTTGCACGTCTTGTACATGATTGTTGTTATATAAATAGACTTGAGAAAGCAAAAAGACATAAATTATCCTTAAGATTGCTTCATTAGGAGTAGAATTTAGATTTTCTCTCTACTTTTTTCTCATTTTCAATTCATATTTTTAGAGTAGTTTATCTTCTCCGATTCTTGAGCTTCTTGTATGAATTGTTCCTTGAAGATAATTAATTCAAGATTCTTTTGATCACGTTTGTTTCCTCTTCTCAATCTTCTCCATTTAATTTTCATTTGTCTCTTCTCCTTTACTGTTTTTATGTTGATTTTTTGTTCTTGTTACTATTTTCTTTCATTTTTTTCCTTTATTGATCTTATGCATTTTTTATTTATTTTTAAGTTGTTTCACCGATTAAAACTTATTTTTTATGATTTAGATTTGGTTTTTAACGAGTCTATCCGATTATAATCCATTACAATCAATGTAGTTGAAATTATTTGATTGAATATCTCATTTACATCACAATTCAATTTCTAGGTTTAAGTGATTGCTTGATTTAGAAATTAAGTTGTGTTTACTTATTTCAATTGGATTTTAATTGTTTAGAACTACTATGAATTTATTTTTGTGATTGCAAGACAAATTTCTAGAAATCAATGATAATCATATGAACAAGTGATGATTGGAGATTCAACCTTTGTTTTCTTAATTTCTAATTTTGTTTTTACTGTACTTTTATAAAGTTGATTTATATGTTTTTTCTTTAATTTCTTATCTTTAAATTCTTTCATAGAATTAGATTTACCACATTTCGTTTAAAAGTTTTCCTAGATTAGATTTATTGCTTTCATTTACCACTTTCGTTTACAACTTTTCTTTACTGCTTTCCTTTTACATTTTTTGCACTTATTACTTTCTTTAAATACTTTCATTTACCGTTTCATTGTTTT